GGTGAAGACAACGAAGAGTCCTAGCTGGAAAGGGGGGAGAGAACTCAAAAGCCTGTTTTCCGATGTCAACTATGATGGGAGAAGTGGAGAGAAGGGTGAGAGAAGGAGTGGGGGAAGGAGGGGGGGAGGGAAAGATGTTGTGTGTATATAAGATCAAAATTGTGTCTTGGAAAGTTCGGGGTTTGAATGACCCGAACAAAAGAAGGGTGGTGAAGGTTCTTTTAAGAAAATGGTGGGTGCATGTGGTCTGTTTGCAGGAGTCTAAACTGGCCTCTCCTTCTGATCGTGTAATTAAAAGTTTATGGGGGGGTAGGTTTGTGGATTGATGCCAAGGGGACTGCTGGAGGTTTTATGGTGCTTTGGGATATATGGTGGGTCTCAAAAGCTGATTTGTGGAAAGGGCAGCACTCTATTTCCTTGTTGTTCTCGTTAGAAGAAGATGGATCGCAATGGGTCTTTTCTGGTGTGTATGGACCATGAGGGGATGTTGAAAGGAGAGTTTTGTGGGAGGAGTTCGGATATGCTAAATCAAGGTGGAATGCCCCGTGGTGTGTTGGGGGTGATTTTAATGTTGTCCGTACTCCTAGTGAGAGGTCCACAGGGGGTTCGTGTCTCTGGCAATGACGGATTTTTCAGATTTTATTGACTCTCACCACCTTATGGATATTCTGATGGAAGGAAATCAGTTCACGTGGTCTAGTGGACGGGATTCACCAACGTTGTCTCGGTTGGACAGATTTTTGATCTCGGGGGATTTGGAGGAAATGTTCCCTGATGTTTCTCAGGTGGCTTTGACCCGTGCTATTTCGGACCACATCCCTATTCTTCTTGATTGTGGAGGGGTGAGGAGAGAGAGATTGCCCTTCCGGTTTGAAAATATGTGGCTCCGGGTTGAAGACTTGATAGGGTTCGGCTTTGGTGGACGGAGTATGAGGTTAGGGGCAGTCCGAGCTTCCAGTTGGCCTCCAAGCTAAGTTTGTTGAAAATTGACATCAAGAAATGGAACAAATAAGTGTTTGGCATTCTTGAGTGGCGAAAGAATAGAATCCTACTGGAAATCTCAGATTTGGACAGAAAGGAGGGTGAGGAGGGCCTCTGCAGCATGGATATTAGTAGAAGGGAGCAGTGTAAGGTTGAGTTTGGAGAAATGGTGGAGATATCATGGAGACAAAAGTCTAGAGCACTCTGGCTTAAGGAAGGTGATTGGAATACAAAATTTTTTCACTGAATGGCCAATGCACACAGAAGATGTAACCATATTGGGAGAATGCAATTTAATGGGGTTAAGGTGTCTAGAGAAGATGAGATCTGGGATGGGTTCGTGTCTTATATTACAAGCAGCTGTTTGAGGAGACTTCCAGTTGGAGGACCTTGCTTGATGGGCTTGAGTTTGCAGCAATCTCGGAAGGTGATAGAAACAGGCTTGAAATGCCGTTTGGGGAGGATGAGGTTCTTTCATCAGAATTGGGAGGTGGTGAAGGCTGAGGTGATGGGGGCATTGGATTCTTTTTTTCTTCATGGTTCTTTTGAGAAGAGCCTCAACGCTTCCTTCATCACTCTTATTCCCAAAAAGGGCGGAGCATGTGAGGCGAAGGACTTTAGACAAATTAGTCTTGTTGGGGCGGTGTATAAAATTATTGCGAAAGTCTTAGCCATTCGGTTGAGGAGAGTTCTCGAAGGGGTGATCTTAGACTCCCAGAATGCTTTTGTTGGAGGGCGTCAAATTTTGGATTCAGTTTTGATTGCTATGGAATGCACTGAGGCTAGGGCGAGAAGTGGTATTCTGGGGGTTGTTTGCAAGCTGGATATCGAAAAGGCTTATGAGCATGTGTGTTGGAATTTTTTGATGTACGTGATGGAGAGAATGGGCTTTGGGCAAAAGTGGAGGGCGTGGATTTTTCTATATTTCGACTACTCGATTCTTGATTTTAGTGAATGGATCCCCAGTTGGTTTTTTTGCTAGTTCTCGTGGACTGAGGCAGGGCAGGGGGACCCACTTTCCCCATTCTTGTTTGCTATTGCTATGGAGGGCTTCAGCCGTCTGATGGGGAGGGTGGGTGATCTTGGGTTCATTCATGGATTCTCGGTGGGTAGAGCTCCGAATCAGTTGGGCATCTCCCACCTGCTTTTTGCGGATGACACCATTGTCATTTGTGATGCTAGCCTCCTTCAGTTGAGGTATTTACGGTGCGTGTTGCCCTGCTTCCAAGTTGTTTCTGGGTTGAAGATTAACATTGTGAAAAGTGAGATTGTACCAGTTGGGGAGGTGGATGACATTCATGCCTTAGCTGATACTTTGGGGTGTGTGTTGGATCTTTTCCGATCTCCTACTTGGGACTCCCTTTGGGAGCCACGTCGAGGAGAGTTACTGTGTGGGATCCGATTGTTGAGCGGTTTGAGAAGAAGCTAGCCGGTTGGAAGAAGCAACACTTGTCCAAAGGGGGGAGGGTTACACTTATGAAAAGCACACTCTCAAATCTCCCGACCTACTATATGTCGCTTTTCTGATGCCTAAGACAGTTGTTCATAGACTTGATGATATTCAGAGGAAGTTTCTATGGGGTTAACTGGGAGAGGGTGTGTTCCCCTATTAATAAGGAGGGTTTGGGGATTCGAAGGCTGGATGTATTTGATAAGGCGTTGTTGGGCAAGTGGTTGTGGAAGTTTGGGAGAGAAAGGTCCAAGCTTTGGAGGCGTGTTATAGCTTGTCATGGGGAGGGCAATGGAGGATGGATTTCTAAGGAGGCTAGAACAGGTATGGGCTCTTGGAAACTTATCCGTAGAGGTTGGGATGAATTCTCCAAACGTATTCGGTTCAAAGTTAGAAGCAAGAGTAATGTCAGGTTTTGGGAAGACGGATGGTGTGGGGATTCGGACTTAGCTAGTAGATTCCCTCGTATTTACCGGATTGTTGTGGCTAGAGATGCGGAAGTCGCTAACTATTATCGACTCGATAATGGGAGGGTGACTTGGGATGTGTAGTTTCGTAGACAGTTTCATGATTGGGAACTTTTGGAGGTTACAGACTTCCTCCTAGCATTCATTTATAGACAGGTGGTGGTCGGGGTGGGCATGGACGAGATGTTGTGGAAGGATACCCCGAGAGGAGTGTTCGAGGTCAAGTCCGTCTACAAATGTATGTTGGAGTGCCCTAGCCCTATGTTTCCTTGGAGAGCCATTTGGAGGACGAAAGCTCCACTGAAGGTGGCATTCTTCTCACGGATTGTCGCTTTGGGAAGCATCCTTACTATTGATAACCTTAGAAAAAGAAGTCATATTGTCGTTAACAGGTGTTACATGTGCAAGAAGATAGAGAAATCTGTCAACCATCTCCTTATACATTGCTCAGTGGCTAGGGATGTTTAGGTTATGTTTTTCGTTGCGTTTGGTCTTCCATGGGTGTTCCCAAAATCCACGGTCGAGTTGTTAGAGATTTGGAAAGGGTGTACAGTGGAGAGCCGAGTCAGAGATCCTTGGAGGACCACTCACCTTTATATCCGATGGTCACTGTGGCGCGAAAGAAATAGGAGATACTTTGAAGGAGTGGAGTCTCCCATTTGGGCTATTAAATACAATATTCTTACTTCTTTATTTTTTTGGGTATATGGGCAGGATTGTAATTCAATGGATAGGCTTTTGGACTTTGTGGATAACTTAAAGCTATAGAGTCGATTTTGGTCGACTGCTGTCTTCTTTGGGAACGCTCCCCTTTTGAGCGCCTTTTATAAAACTTTACTTATAAATAAATAAATAAAACCTCCATATTAGGTCTCTAGGTAACCCCTATCATAGGCTTTCTCCAAATCAATAAAAACCATATGGAGGTCTCTCTTCTTCTCTCTATATCTTTCCATTAATATCCTCAATAAGTATATAGCCGCCATCACTGACCTACCCAGCATGAATCCAAATTGATTCTCCAACACTTTCGTCTCTCGTCTTAGGTGGTGTTCAATCTCTCTCCCCCGAAGTTTCAGAAGACTGGATTTTAAAAATTGAACAAAAACTTAATAATTTGGAGAAAATCAGACTCGGATTGGAATTGAACTGATTGTAAATTTGATGATTTACCCTGTCCATAGTGAAGCAATCACCTAGAAATGACATTGATTTTGGTCTCAATCATAAGCCAATTATTCTATTATCAAAGTGATAGATAAGATGACTGCAGATTCTTATAGTAAGAACTTCAGAAGCAAAAAGTGGAAACATGCTCATCGAAAAAAGAAAAAAAGTGTCACATTACCAGCGACCATTGACTGCTTTAAGTCAGTGGCAGAAAACTAATGTGGTCGCCTCTTAATCAGGAGACATGTCAACGACTCTGCGAACGGTGGGGAAGAGAGGCACACTATACCTATATGGTGATAGTAACGCTATCCAAGGGGAATAAGCACAGGATTATTAGGAAGGTGGTAGTTGCTTGGACTGTTCCTGCTTTCACAATACAGTGGTAGCAACTCTCACTTTCCCTGCTCTTACTATCTCCCCTCGAGGGGGATTCAGGGGGATAAGATACCTTACTATCTGTTTTATATCTGTGTCCCTATTTTCTACGAGTGTAATCCTTTCTGTGGTTATGTTTATGTATCCTGCTGGCCTCTTAAAAGATACCTTAATAGGGAGGTAGCAAAGGTTATCTACACTATTGTTTTAAGGCTGTATAGACATCTTTAAGGGCTTCTTTTACTATGTTGCTAAAAGGTACATGTATCGGTGCTCTTAATACCCCTCCCCCTTCCTGAGTGAGGGCTTCCCGTTTGATTCGAGCAATAATACAAGAACAGATAAAAAAAACTAAAACAAAAAATAATTAAAAAAAAAAAAAAAGTAATATAGATTTATTTAACAAAAATGTGACAAAAAATCCCACAGTACCAATTTCCACATATACAGCATCCTTGTATGAAGATGGCATGCCATACTATCTTATGCAATAAATTTAGCCAAATAGGCCTCAGGCAAATTAACAAAGCAAGGAAAGATAGGTCCGTTGTTACCTTCTTATTAATATGTTGCACAAGAGTACTACCCTGTCACTGGGTAAAAGGGAGGAAAGAACACCAGCAGCAACACTGGTGATTTTTTTCCTCATCTGCTCAAGTGTGATCCCGTTCTCACCAACCACACGACCAGTCAAGCTTGGTTTGTATTCTTTACACTCCAAGACAGATTTCAACATCGACATACATTGAATGAGGAATAGCTCAAATAACATTAGATCTGGTTCCGGATTTGTGATATTATTCAAACAGAAGTCTATGACAAGTGGAAGGATACACTTGTCACTGAAGGAATAAGGATGTCTGTGCTGAATTGCGACCAAAATTTTCATCAATTTGGTACAAGCCCTCTTTAAGAAGTCCCAGAATTGAGGATACTGATCCTGGGAAGATGAATCTGCAGTTAAAGTCGCGAGATCAGCATAATTATAATTCATCAAGAAAATAAAGTAAAGCGGTAACATTCTTCATATGATTGAAAGTTGCACGTGAATTTTGGATTACGATGTGCTAAGTCACATTGGTATGTTATATTGGTATGTTATATTTCAGATTACGATGTGCAAAAAAAATTTCATAATATGATGTCTACTGAGATGTCAGCATTAGATAATTATATTGTATAAAAGAAATTCGTTTTCAATAGGATTTCTCTTTGAGGCATTAGGGTTTGCACGTGCTAGGCTTTGCAGGTCATGAGGAAGACAGTTGCACCACCATGGATTGGGGGAGGGGGGGTTTACACTTCCTCCCAACTTCCAACTGGGGCTGCTTCTTTCCAGCAGAAGTCTCCCCCACATATCTCTTAGCGGGAGCCTGTTTGAAAATTCCACCAAATCATCTTTTATTAACTTAGAATATCACTATGACTAGCGAGATTCAAAGGTGTCCATCACAGCAGGGGCTGCTGGATTCTTAAGTGAATTAGGCGGTCGCCTAAGGCTACGTTTGGGGAAAGGCCCCCCAATTCTTCTTTTTTTTTTTTTTCCCCTCCAAATAACCCTTTTTTTTTAAACGCACGTCTCATTATAGGTTTTTTTGTTTTAATATACACTCTCTCCAATTTTTATGTGGATCATTTTAAACAAATCTAATGCAATAATATATTGAACTACATTTTTTCCTTGTTCATATAGAATCTTTTTACTTAAAAACTAGAGTCATGAATCTACGAACTTATTTGATCTGAAAGCATGAATTCTCGAATTTAGCTTTGTTTTAAGACACGGGAAAAAAAAAAAAAAAAAAAGGAGGTTACAATCACCAAAAAATGTAGTAGTGTGATATGATTCAATGTCCTGGTGCTTGATTGTTTTGAGTGGGTGTGGTGTGTGATTTGTGTTAGTTTAGTTGTCTGTATGGTGGTGTGGCTGTTATGCATTAGTGTTTATCATTATGTTTTAGTGTATGCAATGTTTGGCCAGGCAGGAGTGAGAGCTGTTTTGTTCAAGTGTGCGCAAATATGTTGGAGTGAAAAAAAAAATAATAATAAAAAATGTGTACTAGTGTAATAAAGTGTCTACGATGTGTGTGTAAGTAATTGGAGTTGGAACTCTTTGGAGTCAAAGAAACTCGATGTTGTGGTGGTAATGGTGAAATTATCCAAATTAAAAAAAAAAAGGGAAAAATATCTGTAAAGGAAATAAAGAAGGTTGTGGCGCTGGAGGCGGAGGCCTCGATTATAGTTTTCGCCTTAGGCCTCTAATTGTATCGAGCTGGCCCAACCTGGCGCTTGATGGTTTTGAATGGGTGTGATGTATAATTTGTCTTGAATGGGTGTCATGTATTATTTGTGTTAGTTTAATGGATTAATGCAGAAAACACCCTTGTGGTATGCATATTGTTTGTATTACACCCCTCCCTGTCTAAAACCACCCCCCTACTAAAGATTTTGTTCGGTTAGGTCCTTTCCGTCCATCTCCCGTTACTGGAGCTATGAAATGACTAAATTACCCTTGGTATGAAAAAATAAAAATAAAAAAAATAAAAAATTGCTTACATAAATAAAACGTCATGTTTAAGGTTTCTCACTCCACAGCTCTCTGTGTTTTTCTGTCTCCACGTCTCTCTTCTCTTTCTGTATTTTCTTCCTTTTTTTAATTACAATTCCATTTAGGGAAAAAAAAATGTCAGCATTAACAACCTTAAAAATGAAGAGGTACAGCGATTGATGGGTTTGGATCAATCAGGATGACTCTAATGGGGATTAAAAGTACTATCCCACCATGTGGTTCACCTTTAAGGTAGAACAGTGCTTCTGAAAGCCTAATACTTTTTTACTTATCAAAAAAAAAAAAAAAAAAAAACATGTGCTTCTGAAAGCACGCGGGGTAGAACCACACTATCAAAAAACATGAGGGAAGTTTTGGAGCTGCTTGGATATGACATGACAGTGTAAATCATGAAGATAGGAAGCCTAATTTTAGTCAATGCAATAGAGTTGTGTCCTCAAGTATGATAGCTAATCTAAAATTTACCAATGTTCTGTAGCACCAACGCAAAATACTGGAATTTAGACCCTTCCACCCATCCCAAAAGCAACTTGGATTGGTGGTTTAATGAGCTTTCTCTTGTCGAAGGACACACATGAGGTCTCATTTCAGTTGGCTGTCCAGTGGATCTCAAAAGTGGCACAATTCATGGCATTACTTTCACTGGAACTGACAAAACTTGGTTTTTTTTAGATGCAAACATGTTCAATAACCAATAAAAATGAAATTCTTTTCTACTTTTTGAATTATTAAATAGAAAATCATATAATAACAAAATAACATGGAAATACGCATTCGTGGTTGGTGACTCAAAGTCTCAAACAGCAAGAAATAAACTGCAGAAAATTTTAAAAAGAAATGCAAAAATAAATCCTGAATGGCTCGGAAGATATATTGCAACTGTGCAGACCTTACAACACTTGGAAATGAAAACAAGATAGAAGTCTCACAGTATTGAAGAAGTGACTGAATAGCATTCAACAGCATAGGAGAGACCTCCTTGACTAGATGAACCTCCTAGAAATAGAAACAAAAAAATGAGGTGCTATCAAATACAAAACCTAAGTAAGAACAAAAGATAAAACTAAATAGTTACCTTTAATGATTTCGCGTCACTTGGAAACCCAGAAATTATCAGTTGCTGTATTATCTTTGAACATAAAAACCATCTCTCACATGTCAAATAAAGATCATCATGATGTGGCCCTGAAGCATTTGAACTGAAGTTCCGAGTAAGTGCAGAGAAACCATGTAGTATAGTTTGCACATCCCTCTGCCAAAGGTGCCAGCTGTAATCGAACAAATGGGATGATATCTGTCAAAAGAAAATTTATGAAAGAAATATGGTAAGAAATAATACTAAAACCAGATCTGATCCTCTATAATATAATAGAAGCACAAGTTACCAAAGGGTATATCCCAATTGAGAGGGCAAAGGCAGAAAAAGGCAATAATGCAGAACAGAAGAACTTCAATAAGAAATTGAAGTACACTGACCGTAAAGATAAACTGTATATAGCCAAAGTTATGTATGGCCAGCTTCAACATCTTATGAGGGCATTCAGATCTCAATAGTGTGCAAGACACACTGCAGGCCTTCTTTTAATCAAGGGACATATATGAAGATTTTTGGAGATCCCTGTTGTAAGGAAGCTTATTGAAATTGGGACAATCATGACTCCCCTACCCCAAAAGGGAAAGATCCTTCCCTTTTGGTCTGGTTGTGGGCGAGGAGGGATTTGAACCCCCAACACAGTGGTTTGTAGCCACGTGCTCATATATTTGATCAATAGCTGATATTTCGAATCATATTGAGGACCATAAATTTTTACAAATGAGAAAGTTATAGTAATATTTGCAAATTTTTAAATGAGAGTTGGGCTGGTAAACGGATTCAAATATCAACAACAACAAAGTTCAAGGATGAACATCTAGCGAAAAACTGGATCTAGGGTAACTTAGATGGTTTTGTGGGATTAGAATAACATAATTGGGGTTGTATCGCATTTCATTATAGTTGATTTGATCTGTCAGACCCAGGATATCATAGTTTTTCACCTATGGGGGAAATATAAATCCTTGAGTTCTCTCTGTGATTGCTTTAACTTTTTATAATTATCACTATTTATGTTTAATGCTTTCAGATAAACGAATTATAATCTAAATCATGTACCACTAGGTTCACTACCACAGGTCATTTTCACCAAATTTTAAAATTACCAGAATTCATTTTATCTCTATAAAACAAGAAAACGTAAATGAAATTCTACCAGTAATAAAAAAATTATGTGTATATATATAATTAAAGTAAAATAAAACTCAACTAACCCAAAATTGAGTACACAAGGTCCAAATCTTTAACTGGCATAACTGCACATTTTCTTCTTAGAATGCTTTGTATAACTCTCTCCGTCACATTCAAGAAAACTCGACTTTGAGTTTTGAAGTGTTGAAATATGAAAAGTCACAAGCTTTGACCTCGTATTCTTGGTGGAATAAAATTTAAAGTTGATTTCACATCAATTTTCCTTTTGGAAAGGAGCTTTTTTTCCCATGACACCATCCAATCTATCTGGGCTAATGAAATTAATAGTCAAGACAACTGCAAATCATGCACTTCCTTAGATCTGCCATGAATAAAAATAATCCAACCTCACATCATCTATTTCTTTGACTTCCTTGGCATTGATACGTTAATCATCCTTTTTCTTTGTGTTTTCTTAAAGTACGAGAATCACAGCCTCTGTTTTCCATAATATTAATCGAATTTTTTGTATTAGTAGCTTCAACAACAAGAGACTGTAGGGAGGGAAAAAAAATGTTTGCAGCCACTGATTGTGAGTTGTAGATTTACAACCTGTGTACTATTTGTAAGCTGATAATATATTACAATCATCAAATAAACAAAAGGTCCAAATTCTACTGCATGCAGAATTCATGATTTGCCCATTTTCTAGTAAGCTTGACTTACAATGTGTTAAATGGACGTTCCTCCTTTCACGTACCCATGTCAACGCGACACAAGATGAGATATTGAAGCAAAGAGAGAGAGAACAAAGTCCTCTTACAACAGTTAGACTAGAATTACTCCACTCACCATTGGAAACTTGGAGCCTTGATTTCTAAAAGGAAATCAAGAAAAGCCTGAAGAGAAGTTCATAATCTGATAATATTTCAAAATTATATTGATTAAGACTTGTTATGAGATATCCCTTTCATAATATAACTCTGAGTGACTCATAAAATGACCTTTAGAATCCCCACTTGGCATTAATAACACTTTTACCACTTCCCTAAGCTAAGACTTGGTATTTCCAAACCTTAATCAATATTTTTCATAGAAACCACGATGAACTTTGAGTCTTGACTTCATTGCACAAAAAGAGACTTTTCAAGGCACCATTCTTTATTTGCATAATTTGTTCTCCTTGAAGAAAATCGCCCTCGAGTTTTTAGACATTTACCACTATCAATTAAAACCTAAATAAGGCCTTGCTTCCTTTCTTTCTTCTTTTTCTTAGTCGAAGACTTTCACCAACAAAGAACACCTTTTCATGAACTTCCCGAAAATCTTTTTTAAAATTTAGTAGATTTTCAAAGCTTGATTGCACACATCACGAAGCAAAACCTAAATTAATCTGATTTTTAAATTGGAACAACTCCTAGACATATGTCGCACCAAGAATTCATCCTAAATCGGGTGATGAATATGAAATTCATGATTTTTCAACTCCATGAACAAAGTAGCTCCATTTCTTTCTTTTTTTGGTAAGTAAAATTCATTAAAGGCACTCAAAAGGGGAGCGCTCCCAAGAACAAAAAGCCGCTACCAGCGACATTACATCTTTAAAGTATCAACAAAATCCAAAAGACTACCCAATGATACACAATTTCGCCTATTAACCCAAAAGAATAACAACGACAAAATACTAGATTTGAGAGACCAAATAGTAGCTCCATTTCCAACCAAATTATTCAAGTAAACTTCATCATATGTATTGTCTAATGCACCACTTAACAATTTAACATTGGAATCTTCAAATTTTCCACCTATTTGTTTGTCGACGAACATAAGCTCTGAAATTTAACAACTTGCAAATCAACTTGAGATAGTTTAATTTTTTCAAAGGTGCCCACTTTCTCACATCAAACTCAAATTGCACATTAAATAACGACTGGCTCAACTTCTGACACGTTGTTGGCTGCTTCTTTAGACATCCCCTCTTCTGCCTTCTTGTTTTCTTCATATTCCTCTTAATTGTTAAATTCTGGAAGACGGGAAGTTGAAAGTACCCCCAAGATCTCATCTTCTTCATCAAAAGTTGGGTTGGCATCATCATAATTCCCAAGATCTTCCTCCATCAAGAGTTGTTATTCTTTGAAATTTTGTCTCAAAATTGCTAGTCTAATGAGATTTCAATTTTGGGGTTATATTTTATTAGGTAATTTCTTATTAGATAAGTCTTGGGCTCCAAGGAATTGTAATCCTTGTCCAACGGAATCGAGTTCGGAACGTTATAAACAGAGACACAGGTTACGGAATGAAACTTATGAGATTAAGAGAGATATAGTCACATGAGAAAGTTGATGGATAGAGGAAGTTTATGTGTAGAGACCCGGATTCTTTTTCTTTTCCATAAAATATTTCGTTACGGGTCCGGTCATGATTTTTGCCTTAGGACTCTTGTGTTGGGCGTTCGGGATTGTTTCTTGTTGTCTTGAGATGTTCTGAATTCATTGGTTTAATAGTCAGGTTCTTTTATTTTTTTAACTCAGGCACATGGGACCGGATGACGGGCGTGTGGTCCCAGGCAGCCCGAGTGCTCAGAATTTGTCGAGAGCCTAAATGAAATTCATTAACGGCCTAGTTGTCATGCATAGGGTAGGAATGTTGCCTAGTGTAATTTTTTTTTTTTTTTTTTTTTTTAATAAGTAGAATGTTGCCTAGTGTAATTACAAGGAGTTGCTTTCCGCAAGGAGGAAAATTAATTGAAGTTGGGGTAACAAGGAATTAGGGCAAGAGAAGGAATATAAAAGGAGCTGGGCAAACGAGAGCTATAGAATCGGCTCCTCTTTCTCTCTATACTCTTTTTTTTGTTTTTTTGATAAGTAAAAATATATTAGAAAAACGTTCAAAAGGGGAACACGTCCCTAATACAAGAAGAAAAAAGGTCTAAGGACCAATAGAATCCAAGAAATTAAAGAAATCATCAATCGAGGAGCATGCATTTCCTCTTACATTATAGAACAAAGAACGAAGAATATGAATTTTTAAATTAGCTAAAGACGATTCTTTTCCTTCAAAGGATCTGTTATTCCTCTCACGCCACAAACACCGAACAATCTTCTAATAATCACGAGCTTGTTCTTTAACAGAACACCTTTTCCAAGCATTAGTCAATTGTGAGGAGGCTTAGGCATTACCCAAAAAATGCCAAACATGCAAAAAAATAAGTTGAGACACCAATATGTGTGGAGAAAACATCCCAGACCTTCCGAACAAAGAACGAAGAATATGCCAAACATTATAGAAAAAAGAACGAAGAATATGCCAAACATTATAGAACAAAGAACGAAGAATATGCCAAACATTATAGAACTTTGAATCTAATATGTGTGGAGAAAACATCCCAGCCCTTCCGAATGAATTTCCACACACCAACGCCTCCCGTAATAGTGACTGGAAGAGATGACCAACCCCCACTCTCCTCACCAAAACGACACGAGACAACTCTTCTCCACTGACGATGACGTTCCCTTCCAAATCTCCATAACCACTTTCCCAAGAGAGCACGATTAAAAGGAACGATTTTTCGAATGCCTAACCCGCCTAACCTCAACAGTTGGCAGACTTGATCCCAATTAACAAGATGTTACTTAAACTCCTCTCCCCTTCCACCCTAGAGAAAATCCCTCTGAATTTTTTCAATCCTTTTAGCAACAGAGCATGGAATTTAAAACAAAGATAAAAAAATAGGTAGGAAGGGATGAGAGGGTACTCTTAATGAGTGTGACTTTCCCCCCCTTAGATAGATACTGCTTTTTCCATCCTGCTAATCTTTTCTCATATCTATTAATCACTGGATCCCAAATCCCAACTCGTGTAGAAGAAACTCCCAAAGACAATCCTAAGTAAGGAAGAGGAAAAGTACCAACTCCACACCCTAGGACAGTAGCTAAGGAGGAAATATCTGGGACATCCCCCACTGCGACAAGCACACTCTTTCCGACATTAATCTTTAACCCAGAAACTGCTTGGAAGCAAGCAAGAATGCACCTCAGATATCTAAGTTGAGAAACTTCAGCATCACAAAA